TTGCTCATGAAACCTTGATTTTTGACTTATAAATTAAGGGTAAATGTTAATGACTTCAATTTTTATTTTCCTTAAATGCATTTTCATAATTTTAATTATTATAAGATAATATTAGAAGCTTCATAATTATTTTTATAGAATTTTTAATGTTAAAGTTTATAAATGTGAGTTTTTAGGGCATTTAGGGTTTTTGAGAGTTTGTAAGTCTTTGGATATCAAAATTAATTAAATTTTGAGACTTCAAACTATTTTAGAGTTTCATACTCTTATTCAAGTTAGAAATAATGTTTGTAATTTATTTTTTTATCGGTTTATTGGCATTCTATGTAGTGATTCCGAGATCCAACGAAATTGAGGAATCAAGTATACTAGTCCTAGTCTTCAACTTTAACTTAAGTTTCTATGAGACTTTGACCTAATTTCTACTACTAGGTCAAGTGCATTATGGGTGTATATGATTCATGAAATGGTGTTCAAGTCAAGGAATGACCCGAGTGTGGATAGTCACTACAGTTAAGTAGTTGTAGAATTCACATACCAATGTGAAATCCAAGCACATTATCCATTGTTTCTAATTGTTTCCAAGTTTCTAATAGGTTATATCTTAACTTCTAGTTACTAAGTCTAGTATGTGTCGTGCCTATACGTGCAACTAAGTTTATTCAAATCTAGAACTAACTCGAATTTTGACGGTTGTCACAATATGTTCGGTTTAGTTAAGTCTCCACCTAACGATTGTAGTTCCTTTATCTTGCCAGATTATTATTATTGGAGGGTTTGTCATATGCCATTTTTCATGCCGAGAATCATGTTTGAAGAGTATCTGGTTGATCCGGTTCCATGCAACAGTTCGTGAGGCGATAGTCACTGATGTCGTAAGCCCTAGGTGGGAGTGAACTGACTGTTCTGCTTGGAGGATCAGCAGTTGGATCAATTTTGGTGATTTCAACGTAATAGTTCAGAGGAAGTTGTAGTGTAAATTCATTGGTTTTATAGAATTCGACATGATTGAAATCTTTCGTAGTGGAGAGGTATAAAGTATTGGTGTAAACGCGAGCTGTTGTCGGATTCATGCTTTCAAGGGTGTGCGTGTGGTCCTCGCATCGGAGGCTTCTAGGCAAAGATCTCGTCGTAGTCGGTTGTCCCTTCTGGGACAACGAAGATAGATTTCATAGATACTTGTGCCGCAGAAGTTGAATGTCAGCTTAAAAGGTTGGTTAGCCCGTTGAACCGATCACTATCGTTAGTAGGGTAAGAGTTGTGATGATCTATCTGATGGGTTTTGAGCAAAAGAACAATCCTATGTGCACATGCAAAACCCTAAAGCTTTGGATCTAGGTTTCTCTATTGTACATGCAAATTTATCCAAAGCTTGTAAACCCTAATCGTGCATACTATAAAAATCGAAATCTACAACTAATACAAGTTTAGATGATTACCTTTTGATAGTAGCAAGAATCTTCAACTTCAAGAGCTTAGTATCACAAGTGTAATACCTCTAATGGCTTACAAACACCAAGGCAAGAAGATGATCAAGAAGAGAAGAGATGGAGGCACAATTTCGGCTATAGTAACTCTAGGGCTTCTGGTGTAGGCCGAAACTGATGCTCTAGGGGTCCTTAAATAGCTGAGCAGCTAGGGTTTCAGTCAAAACCCTAATTGAATGACTTAGGCCCTAAGCAGCTCCAAGAACCTTCTGGAATAAGGCCCCTTGGACGAAATCAGAGTGGGCTTCCACTCTAAATTTCGTCCCCCTTATATCCATAAGGATCCACAACCCAAAGTCAATTATCTTATAATTGACAGTTCCAGTCCCCTTTATTTAATTAATCTCTTTTAGTCACAAAATTAATTATTGACTAATATTAATTAGACTATATGATTTCTCTTTTAATATATTATTTATATAATATACTAATAAACCATAATAACCTCTCTTTCTCCATAAATCATCCTGTCCAGTTGCTTTGGTGAAGGCAACCCAAAAGGACCATGCACAACCGGGTCAAGTACATACCAAATATAGTTACAGGCTTAGACACTAATCCAACAGTCTCCCACTTGGATAAGTCTAGTAACTATAAATGCAAGTACGACTTCAGGATCCGATTAGCAATCGTAGCTCTCAAAGATGTTGTCGAACTCTGATCTTATTAGTAACCTGTCCTTTAGATAAGGGATCGTATAGTCCTCCATTCAAGATATCGTGCGGACAATCACATGGAACATAGTCATACTTATTGTCCAGCTGTTTGTTTCTCAATCTCTGATTTGTGTGACATAGAACTTAATTGAACACATCAATTTAGTCCTGGCCGGGCCGGGTCTGGCACATTAGTCAAACCAAATCATCGAGGGGCCCAGATATCGCTTTTACCCTCTTAGGATAAAATGAACAGATAAACTTATGTTGGGTTTTGGTATAATACAACATCCTATGGTGCACATACCACTACTAGAATATAGGCCTTTAATGACGCGCAAACCATGACACGCAGTGATTTACGATACGCAAAAGCGTGTGCCTTAAAAATAATGTCATCTCTTCTAAAATTTGAAGGATTTAGGACGCGCATTTTTGCGTGCCCTTAAAATTAGTGTCAGAACAAAAAAAACACGGAGGGCACTCAGCATAAAATGTGTGTCGTCTAATCATGTCGCTTTATAATTTTTAAAATGAACGCGCGTTTAGACTATTTATCTTATCAAAAAATTCACAGGGACCATTTCTAGGGTTTTGTCAATGAGGGCTCTACCCTGAAACCTTCAACAACGTTCTCTACCTCAAATCACCTCCTGCCGGCGACCTCGACTCATCTTTTTCTGCATCGCCAACTTCTTACCTTCCCATGGTCTGCCAATCAGATTCGATTTACCAAAGCTCGGGGCTCCGACATGAGTTCTTCCCTTTTTGTTGTATCTTAACAAATTATATTCCTGTTATCAAGCCATGTTAGAACCCTAATTCTAGAAGAATCTGATTGGTTCTTCTTGTTTCATCAAAATCGGAGCAGAGTAGTTGATGTCCGATGGAGGGAGTGGATCCCATTACGTCCAAATGCAATCGGAGCCGTCGAGGTTGTCATCGTTCTTCTCGTTTCATCAAAATCCGCCTGAGGGAACTCGAATTTTCAATGAGTTGCCCAAGGCCACAATTGTACAATTCTCTCGTCCTAACTCTTTTTAATTTCATACATCCCCTCTAACCACACCTCCTTCTTCGTTCTAACCTAGATGCAAAAATCGATTTTGATTGTTAGAGCATCGACGAGAATTGGAGCAGAAGAATCGACAGCAGAAGATGAGGAACACTCCTTCAAGTGGTCTAATATTATTCCATCACAACAATTAGATGACCAACATAATGAAAAATTCCAAACCGAGGTTCATTCGTCTCTTTTACCGTGTAAATTTCGTGTACTTGACATTATAACCGAAATATTCATTCTCTGGTTGTGTGTGTATGTGCGTGTGTACAGCGAGTGGTGTGATAGATTCAATATGAGAAATAACGAAGTACAACCTTATGGTTTTCAATTTTCTCGAAAGGTCAAGATGGTGGAACATACGTTGATGCTTTTGTACCCGTATGATTTGTCCATAGATGACCGCCAGGTATTCGGTGAAATACCTAAGTCATTTCTTTTGTTTTCTTATCTTCTTTTACATGTGAAAGAATGTAAGACAAGTTAAAAGATGTTTAAACTCTGCAAGCGGTTCACCTGCATCCTCCAGATCATCAAACATTTTTTTTATCAATGTTAAATGCTTCCACCTTTATATATATTTTTATCAATAGTAATTGCTTCATTTTTGTACCTATTAACTTATTATAATGTTTTGAAAAGGGTACAGGTGGTAGGGCATACAAGTTTGCTGATTTATTCAAAGAAAAACTGGAAGTTAGAATTGAAAAAGAAGATGAGATGGATTGTCTTGTAGCTGGTGCAAATTTTTTGCTAAAGATGCTTTTCTATTCTATTCTTTTTCATGAATAAATTTAATAAGTCCATGCATATGTTAAATAGGTTTAAAAAAAACTAAATTTTATGTAGGCGATTCGACATGAAGCCTTCACCCATTAAGGTCATACAGAGTTTGTGTAGATAGACCATAATGATATGTATCCATATCTTCTTGTTAATATCGGATCTGGTGTTAGCATGATAAAGGTACCTTTTTTCTGTTCTTTTTTTATTCTTTTGATCTTTTTTATTAAGTATTTTGCATTTATGTAGGTTGATGGAGATGGGAAGTTTCAGAGAGTTAGTGGGACCAATGTAGGTGATGGGACATACTGGGGCTTAGGGAGAATGTTGACTAAGTGCAAAAGGTTACTCTTATTTGACCACTTTGGTCAACTCTTTGACTCTCCACTTTGACTTCCCTTTTAACAGTAGTGTCATTACAGTTTTGATGAGCTTTTGGAGTTGAGTCAAAGGGGAGATAATAGCTCTGTAGATATGCTTGTTGGGGACATTTATGGGGGATTAGATTACTCAAAGGTAATCGGTTGTAGAATGTATATGTTATTTCTTTTTTATGAAACGTATAAAGCTTATAACTTTTCACTCCTTGACTTGATTACCCTTTGATCTCTTACATCATCTCAGATTGGACTTTCTGCATCAACAATCGCTTCTAGTTTTGGAAAGGCAATTTCAAAGAACAAGGAGATTGAAGACCATAGACCTGAAGACATTTCTCTCTCTCTTCTCTGAATGATTTCTTACAATATAGGCCAGGTATGATGTATAGTGATTTTGTCTTTGATGAAACAGGTGTTTCCTTTAAATCCAATAATAAAACCATTTTTCATAGTCGATTAATACTTGTGCATAAGTCCTTAGCATATGTAATATCAAAGAAGATAATGGACAATGTATATTGTGAATCTGATTTCGATTTGATATATGTAGATATCTTATTTAACTGCATTGCAACTTGGAATTAAACCGATATTTTTTGGAGGCTTTTTCATAAGGGGTGATGCTTATACCATGGACACCATTTCCTTTGCCATTCAATTTTGGTAAGGATTACAATCTTTTTCCATTAGAAATTTGATTTAAAGTTTGTAGCAAAAGGATTTAAGAAAATTTTGTTTTGATCTTATTCTTTTTTTTTTTACGTCAAAAGGAGGGGAACAATCTATGTTTTTGTGCCATGAAGTTTTTTGCAGAAACCTGATCATTTAGCTGGCTTATCAACTGGATTATGTCGGAGCCATCATCAACCACATATATCTGTAACAACAACTCATTCAGTATTGATGATGCCAACACATCTGCTCTAGATGTTTGTTTCTTAAGCATATACATGTAATCGAACAACATGTAATTCTTAATTATTATTTATTTGAGCACAAATGGTTTAATATGAAATATGTGTAAATGATGAAATATTTATGAACTCCTTTTTAAGTTGACAATTGCTGGCATCAAATTTGCGGGGATGCATAGTCTAATGCAATCTGTTAACAAGGTAAGAATTTTGTAGTTTATAAACTGATGAAAATACGTGGCAAGTTTTTTTTTATATTTCACTCTTATTTTATTAAATTTCAAAGTTTAAATGAGTTTCATTTGATGTAGGTGAAATCACTGGCTACTTTCCAGCATGATGAGAAATGTATGGCTCTTTTGATGGATGGAAGTGTTGGTGATTTGTTATCATCAATGTTATTTAAGTGTAATGGGATTACTTTGTAGACTAAAAATGATCTTGATAAATATTAAATAAGTAAGGAAGGTATGGAGTACACACTTGTTTAAGTTTGATCAAGTATCAAAGTATACTGTCATTTAGGGGCGAAGCCCCTGAACGAACGGGGGTCCGGGGGCAGCGCCCCTGGGAGTGGGGTCCAAGGGGCGGCAGCCCCTGGCGGGGTCCAAGGGGCAGAGCCCCTGGCTGGGGTCGTTTTTGACTTTGCATCAGAAAATCCAAATTTTGAATATTTGACCCGTTTTTGACTTTGCATTAATCCTTATACAAAACCCGGATTTATGATAGTTTTGACTATTGAGAAAAACTGTTATATGACAGTTTTGTCAGTTTTTCAGACAATGAAGGTTTATAACCAATTTTTAGTCAGTTTTCTGGTACTCACGAAATTACACCATCTCATTCTCTTTCTTTCTCTCTGATTTTCTCTGAGTCTTATCCAATTGAGGATTTGGGAGTACCACCCAAATACTTCGATTTGAAAGTGATTATCACGATTCTCAGATTTTCAAGTGCCACTAAACCATATTTCTAACAGGAAGTGCAGCAGTTGGTCTTGATCTCAGTTTTGTGACACACGTATATTTAATGGAGAGCCAATTTGGGATAAAAGGTAATATTTAAAACAAATTATTGATGATTCTTGCATCTTTACTGTCTACCTGTATAAAACCATATATTTTGAACAGGGAGCTTTGAATTTCAATAAATCGTATTGGTCAGGAGGTCGGTGGTCATTAAATAATTGCTACCTTTCTGGAGGACTGTTTATCATGGTACTTTTTCACCTTTTTTAAATTTATCAAAGTATCTTATCTTTTAATTATTATTTATTTACTTATATTTCCATGGTGTCTCTCACAATGTCAACACGGTAAATTATACAAATACTTACTTTTAGTCTTTTACCATGTTGCTACATTAAGTTCGCATTGATGTAATCTTTTAAACTGTTCTTTTCAGTTTTTTTACTGCTGTAAATTATGGATATGGAATTACCTGATGGTGTTTTTGACCAATTTGGAAGTAACTCGAGAGTTCTGAACTTAAATTTCCTAATTATCACATATTTTAATATCTAAAAAAATTGAAAATAAAAATGTGTTGCAAGGCAAAGTTGGTGCTTACTTTTGGTTGGATACTTGCATGTTTGTTGGAAACAGTGACTTATGTGGGAAGCAAATTAATAAGTTATGCAAAGATGAAGTTGGAAATCAACAGCCTACAGGTTTTATTTTCTTCCTTGTAAAAATTGTTGGTTGAGTTTTTACATTTGACTGATTTATTTTGTGGATGTAGGGAATCAAAATGTGAAAAAGAATTCTGGAAGGTTACTTATGAGTGCTTCTGCTACTGTTGGTGCATTGCTTCTTGTTGCCCTTATGTGTTTCTGGGGTTGTTTTCTCTATAAAAAACTTGGGAAAAATGATGCAAAAGGGATTGCAAATTAAGGATGTGAGTGGACGTAAGTAAAGATTGAAATAAGCTTTTAATATAATTAATATGAGCTTTATAATTATTAATAAGAGTATTTTTTTTGTTATTGATTGGTTCAGGTGCATCGATTGTGATGTTTCATGGAGACTTGCCATACTCATCAAAGGATATAATAAAAAAGCTGGAAGCTTTAAATGATGAGCATATAATTGGTGCTGGAGGATTCGGAACAGTCTACAAGCTTTCAATGGATGATGGAAATGTTTTTGCTTTAAAAAGAATCGTAAAATTAAACGAAGGATTTGATCGTTTTTTTGAGAGAGAGCTTGCAATTCTTGGAAGCATCAAACATAAATATTTGGTGAATTTAAGAGGATACTTCAAAACTCTTGCTCTATGACTACTTAGCAGGTGCCAGCCTAGATGAAGCTCTCCATGGTAATAATTTTGTTTTTATAATAATTTTCTTGTTTCTGATTGAGACTGAGGGAGGAATTATTTGTTATCAGAAAACGGTGATGAACAATTGGCATGGGAGAAACGGGTGAAGATAATCATGGGAGCTGCAAAAGGGCTGGCTTATTTGCATCATGACTGTTCCCCTCGAATTATACACCGTGATATAAAATCAAGCAACATTTTGCTTGATGGAAATTTCAAGGCTCGGGTTTCTGATTTTGGACTTGCAAAATTGCTGGAAGATGAAGAATCTCACATCACCACCATTGTTGCAGGAACTTTTGGATACTTAGCTCCAGGTAACAAACTAACAACATCAACCAAAAAGTAAAAGTTTTATTATATAATTTAATTTTTGTTTCATGCAGAATACATGCAAAGTGGCAGAGCAACAGAGAAGACGGATGTTTATAGTTTTGGTGTGCTGATGCTTGAGGTTGGTGTGTAATATAATCTCTCTTGCTTAGTTGCTTCTTGCCCTTTGATAAGTGGTATCTTACCCTAGCCTATGTTAACATTTTAAGGAAAGTTAGAACTCAGAAGCTATCTATATGCATATTGTTTTATCTTTTTCAAAGTAAATAAGATTGCTAATTATGTATTTCTTTTTGACAAATTGGATTTGTGATTTGAAAATTGTAAATCTCATATTAGGGGGGACACCTGTAATGGAACAGATGATTGTTGCTGGAAAGGTTGTTCCTATTTTACAGTTGGAACATGGAGTAGTTGTTGTTAGAGTGTATATAGGGTCATTCATGACTTTTCTTGATATGGCAGGTTTGTTAAGTTCATTTTGTTTTCTGATGCAAAAAAAGTGGCTAATATCTTTGTGTTGTGTTAGAGCAAGCAATTTTGCAACGCCTGGATGTTGCAACTAAGGCTCTGCATTGGCCTATTGGTGTTGATGGTTGGTGGATATAGTTATTAGTTAGGTTAAAATTACAATATAAATATATGGTCGGTGGATATAAAAGACGCAGATTGATTTCCAAAGTGGCAGATGGTGGATGGAAGTTTTATCTAGAGGCGCAACAGCTATTCATCAAGACTTGAAGAAGTAGTTCCCAATTTCACCTCTTAATAGCAATGTAGTATTAGGTTATATAGCTAGGGAAAACCTCTTAATAACAATGTACAATCAAATCCCTTTAATATCAATGTATTACAATTTTTTGACATGATGTTACCGGATGAAATTGATTGTTTTGGTATATATTTGTTTCCATATTTTTGTATTATGCGTAAATGAGTATCGTAAAGGCACGTCGTATATGCATGTCGTAAATGGTTGCCGAAGTTTATGACATGCAAATACGTGTCATTTTCATTTATGGCAGGGGCTATAATGATACGCAATGTGTGTCCTAAACGCGCCTCGTAAGGTTACGACACACAAATGCGTGTCGTCTTCCTTTATGACAGGGTCTTCCTTAATACGCATTGCGTGTCGTAAATGAGCGTCGTAAATGCGTGTCGTAAATAGACGACGCGCAAAAGCGTGTCGTCTTTTGTTATGACAGGGCCTTCCTTGACACGCATTTGCATGTCGTCTGAGCGTTTTACGACATGCATTGTGCGTCGTAAAAGGCTGTTTTTTTAGTAGTGTACAACCCTAAATACCTTGGATCTATGTTTTCACTAATTATACATGCAAAGATGTTTCCAAGGTATTATGCCTATAACTAGCATGCAAAGATGTAAACTACACAAGATGCTAGTTAGTGTAACATACCTTTCATGTGGCTGGAAGTCTTGATGCATTTGGCCTTAAGAGCTTAGCCCCAATAGTGTGGAAGCCTCAAATGAAGTCACAACACATCAAGGACAAAGGAAGAACTTGAGAGAGAATCTTCATGCACCCAAAACACCTCCATGAACTCCAAGAATAAAGGTGGCGGTTTTTAGGTCATCATATATGTATTTATATATGTTGAATTCTAAGAGTCATGGGTATAACCCAAACCCATACCCATGGGTTTTATGATCCATGGTTCATGTGGCCCAACCCTTTATGTATCCATACACAAACTTGGTCCAACATGGATCATAAGCCCAACACATATAAATATAACTAATTACCATAATTAGTCCCCATAGTTTTAATTAGCCTCTTTTGATCACTAAATTAATTCCAAATTAACTCTTGATCAATACTAATTAAAATATATGATTTCATATTAATATATTAGAACTTATAATATATTAATCATATATAACCTCTTCTCTCAAAAGTCCATCCTAACAAATTGTCCTGCTGATATGCAACCCAAATGGACCATGCTACTCTCGGGTCGAATATATACCAATAATAGTTATGGGCTTAGACATCTAATCCAACAACTTCGACTTACATGCATTTACTATTCACTCATCAAATCGTACACAACAATGTGTTTTATAACATCAAGTTACTGATGCGTTTACGCATTATCAATGCACACCCAACTTTCAAATAATAAACCATATATCTAGGTTTAAAGAATATATGATATTATCGTCTTGCGATCACTCGTGATAAATTCCATGAAGTGATGTCAGCAAGCGTAGGTTTAATCCAATGCTCAAATCTTATTCATAAGCACTCATGAACGTTTTAGCAAACTTTTTCTATGTCTAATACACTTTAGACAGTCTACAAACCAATTCATGACATTCTTTTTTCATACCTACTTCCAAAGTATAAGCGATTGTGGACTGTTCGAATAATCTTATTATTCAGGAAGTCAAAACATGCAAAGTGAAACAATAGGTAAATAATTAACATAAGACAGTAACTTTACTCATAAATAATACTCCTTTATTTAGTCATCAAATGTCAATTACAATTTATCTATTACACGTTTCGAAACTATCTAATCTAAACTAATATCGTCCTTCAGCCCAATGCTCCTAGCGTGCTGCAAGTGCTTAACCTTACTCAGTCCCTTCGTAAGGGGATCTGCTGGGTTATCTTCTGACGATACCCTCTTCACTACGAGGAGTCCCTCTTCCACCCGATGTCTAATAAAGTGATATTTCTTGTCGATATGTCGGGATCTGCCATGATCCCTTGGTTCCTTGGTCAAGGCAACCGCTCCTTCATTATCGCAGAAAATTTCCATGGGCTCCTTTATGGCTGGCACAACTCCAAGGTCTCCAATGAAGTTCTTCAACCATATTGCCTCCTTTGACGCTTCGCTCGCTTCTATGTACTCTGATTCGCACTATGAATCAGCTACGGTCTCCTGCTTGGAACTTTTCCAAGTTACTGCTCCTCCATTCAGGGTAAAGACCCAGCCTGACTGAGATCGATAATTATCTCGGTCTGTCTAAAAACTGGCGTCACTATACCCTCACACCCTTAAGTCATCACTCCCACCGAGGACTAGAAACCATTCCTTGGTCCTCCAAAGGTACTTAAGAATATTCTTGACTACGGTCCAATGTGCTTTACCAGGGTTCCCTTGATATCTGTTGACCATGCTCAAAGAGAAGGCCACATCAGGGCGAGTACAAGTCATAGCATACATGATCGAGCCAACTGTGGAAGCGTAAGGTACTCGACTCATTTCTGCTATCTCGGCCTCGGTACTCGGACTTTGAGTCTTAGTCAACTTGGTATTGCTTTGGATCGGTAACTCCCCCTTCTTGGAATTCTCCTTACTAAAACGCTTTAGTACCTTATCCAAGTAAGTATTCTGACTAAGTCATATTAGTCTTTTACTCCTGTTTCTCACTATCCTTATTCCCAGAATATAGGCAGCCTCTTCGAGGTCCTTCATAGCGAAGCACTTTCCAAGCCAGGACTTGACTTCTTTTAGAGTTGGGATGTCGTTTCCTATGAGTAGTATGTTATCGACATACAATACGAGGAAGCGTATTATACTCCCACTGGCTTTGACATATACACAAGACTCATCCTCGCTTCGCATGAAGCCAAACTCTTTAACTTTCGCATCGAAACAAAGATTCCATCTGCGAGATGCTTGTTTCAATCCATAAATGGATTTCTCAAGCTTACACACTCTATTAGGATGCTTCGCATCGACAAAACCCTCTGGCTGACTCATGTAAACATCCTCAGCCAACTTCCCATTGAGGAAAGCGGTTTTGACATCCATCTGCCATATTTCATAGTCATGAAACGCAGCTATGGTTAGCATCACCCTAATAGACTTTATCTTCGCAACTGGTGAGAAGGTCTCATCATAGTCAATTCCGGGAGTTTGAGTAAATCCCTTCACAACCAATCGCGCCTTATAAGTGTGTACCTTCCCATCCATGTCGGTCGTCTTCTTGAAGATCCATTTGCACCCGACCATCTTACGACCTGGTACATTGTCAACCGAATTCCAAACTTGGTTGTCATACATGGACTGAATCTCGCTATCCATAGCCTCTTTCCACTTCGCAGACTCCGGGCCTGCCATGGCTTCCCTATAGTTGTTAGGTTCGTCCAAATTTACTAGTGTACTATCATAATAAACGTATCCCCTTCAGTAGTAATATGGAAACCATAAAACTGGGGTGGAACGCTAACTCTATCGGAACGTCTAAGAGGTAAGGACTCGTCAATCGGTTCAACAGGAGTTTCCTCCTCAAGTTGAGCGCCAGTGTTTGAGGTTCCTTCATCGTTCGATTCTTGAAGCTCTTCAAGATCGATTTGCCTCCCACTATCTCCTTGGCGTATGAGTTCTCGCTCTCGGAAAACCCATATTCTCGCAACGCAGACAGCATTATCACTCGGTCTATAGAAGAGATATCCAAAGGACTTCTGTGGATAGCCGATGAAAATACACTACTCACTACGAGGTTCGAGCTTTTCGTGAGTCTCTCGTCTTACGAAAGCCTCGCAACCCCAAACCTTGATATGTGCCAACGAGGGAGCTTTCCATGTCCACATCTCGTGAGGTGTTTTGGAAACCTTCTTTGTAGGGACTAGGTTAAGGATATGGGCGGCAGTCTCTAAGGCATACCCCCAAAATGAGATAGGTAGCGAAGCACGACTCATCATGGAACGAACCATGTCGAGCAAGGTTCGATTACGCCTCTCAGCCACACCATTCAACTGCGGTGTCGTAGGTGGCGTCATTTGTGAAACGATTCCGCATTCCTTGAGGTAGTCGTGGAATTCAAGACTAAGGTACTCTCCACCTCTATCGGATCGAAGCATCTTTTTTCCTGCCCAACTGATTCTCCACTTCATGCTTAAACTCTTTGTACTTTTCAAAGGTTTCTAACTTGTGCTTGATTAAGTAGATATACACATATCTGCTATAATTATCGGTGAAAATCACATAGAAGCGGCTCGCATCCCTTGTGGTGGATCTAAAGGGCCCACACACATCGGTGTGTATGAGATCCAATAAACCCTCACCCCTTTCACAAGAACCAGTGAAGGGAGACTTGGTCATCTTTCCAAGTAAACAAGACTCGCACACGTCATCGTCCCTAAGGTCGAATGACTCCAACACTCCATCCTTTTGGAGTTGGGCTATGCGTTTCTTGTTGGCATGTCCAAGACGACAATGCCACAAGCATGCTTTATCCAAACTATTGGAAGAATCGATACATAACACATCATTTCCTAAGTTGTCTACAACCATCACAGTTTCATATATTCCATTACAAGGCAATGCTTCAAAATAGAAAACACCATTAAGAAAAGCATTAATAGAACCTTTGTCATTATCAAACGAAAATCTAAATCCTTGTTTATATAAACCATGAAAAGAAATGATTTTTCTTGCCATTTCTGGCGAATAGCAACAATTATTCAAATCTAGTCCTAATCCACTACTAAGCACTAAAGAGTAAACTCCAATCTTGGTGACAGGCGACCTTCTTCTGTTTCCCATGATCAAGTTTATCTCCCCATGCTCCACATCCCTATTTCTTCTTAGGCCCTACAAATCAGAACAAATGTGAAAACCACACTCTGT